CAGTTAATATTTTTAGTTGATTTTTTTTTTTAAATAATAGTTATACGTTAGGTCTATAGCTATATCTCAATAATTAATTTTTTTACATTTTATTAAAAATATTAATTATTTTTAAATTTTAAATAAAATGTAAAAAAAAAATCTAAGATAGCTATTTTGTAGAGTAGAATTTAAGAAAAATTTTAGTAAAAAAATATCTTATTAATATTCAGTAGTAAATATTCTGTAGCGTTTTGAAGTTTGTGAAAATTTGAATTTTCATGTACTATTTTACGGTTTTAAACATTGAAATACGTATTGAGAAAAGGACAGAAGAAAACGCTATCTTTTCATGATTACTGTGTATACATATGATGATAGTGTGTATACATTACAAACTTGGCATAAATACCATGATAAGAAATTAGATAAGGCAATTATTACTTATCACTCTCATTCAAAAGTATATTGAAAAGATAGCGTTTTCTTCTGTCCTTTTCTCAATACGTATTTCAATGTTTAATACCGTAAAATAGTACATGAAAATTCAAATTTTCACAAACTTCAAAACGCTACAGAATATTTACTATTGAATATTAATAAGATATTTTTTTACTAAAATTTTTCTTAAATTCTACTCTACAAAATAGCTATCTTAGATTTTTTTTTTACATTTTATTTAAAATTTAAAAATAATTAATATTTTTAGTAAAATGTAAAAAAATTAATTATTGAGATATAGCTATAGACCTAACGTCTAACTAATATTTAAAAAAAAAATCAGCTAAAAATATTAACTGGATCAAAAGTTATTTAAGTTGTCAGTGAGTGGTGGGCCACTCTGTATACACTAAAATAAACATATGGTGAAAATTTTAGATATTTAGTATTTTGACCAAAAATAAACCGAATAACAAAAACGACCTCTGTTATTAATATTTGGTCAAACATTAGTATATCATAATAGTTTAATTTTTACTATGGAATACTTTATATTGGCCTACTAGAAATATACAATATAATGACGGAAATTATCATATCTACGCTATCAATTTTCGAAGTAAAATGATGAAACTAATACAATTGTATTAAATTCTACAGTAAAAACGATCGTAATTAAATCGTTTAATCACGATCCCTTATATAATTAGAATCGCATAATTCATAATAAACTTTATTAACAGTACTTGAACATGGAAAATATTGTAATTAACATCATTTAAATTAAGTAATTTAATAAAATATTATTTTAAATTATTTAACACGTGTGAAACAAATGACATCTATAAGGAAATGTTTCTTAAAAATAACCCAACGACAAATTTAATTTTATTAATAGTCAACCATACAAAAAAATTCTTTGATTTCTTAATGTTGTCAGAAATATAACAATTTTATTCTTACAGTTTTTAAAATAACTTATTATTTATTTCACAAAAAAAAAAAAAATCCCATAAGCTTCTTAGCTTTCACTGTCTATTGTCAATAATAACTTCAAATAGATCATAACTTAGAAAAGGTCTTTGAAATTTTGAGATTCAACTTTTATTTAAAGCTACATTAAATATGTTTTAATAGGGTTGTGTTGGGTAAATGTAAATTTATTTTCTGAACTATTTTGAATTGTATTAATAATTTTTAATTTGAATTTAGTGAAACTTTCATTCTTTAATTATATCATAATATGCATTTTGAAAAATACCACGTGAAAAATGATATTTTTTCTTAGTCACAAAAAAGTTAAAAATTCATTTTACATTTTACTCCAAGTGTTTACAATTGTATAATTAATCCTGGGTAAATGTAAATAATTAGGTATGAGTTTTTGAATATATATAAATAATTCATTCTAGTCGATAAATTAATAAATAGTATTTTGTTAAATATTTGAGTTTTTTAGCTCATATTTAATAAATACAAAACAAATTTCATATAAATGACTTATTTTAGGTCCAGCTATAAAATGTATTATGTATTTTTCAAATACATCTGTTAGATGTAAAATAATAAGGTAATGGTTATAAGTATGCAATTTGAGTATTTTACTTTCCCAAGTGGGTGGTTATACTATATTTCCAGTATAATATTTTTAAGAGATAATTTTTAACGATGTGAAAGGCCTACTAAAGTAAAATTTATTTAATATTTATCTTTAATTTTATGAAAATAAAACTTCATTGATTTATTTTCAAAGAGTTGATATGAAACTCTGCAAACAATGTTTTTAATATCCTATTTTTTATTTCATAACGTTTTTAATAATCTCAAATATTGTAAAATCAATATATTTTGTGAATGAATATTAACCAATTTATAAAACTTTAATCATATTTGTTATTTAGATTTAAAATATTAAACTTCTTTATTATTACACAGCTTGATCATAATTGAGAGTGCAAATTATNTACAGTTTGATCATAATTGAGAGTGCAAATTATTTAAGAGTGGAAAGGCTATCATTTAGTTTTTTTGAGTTAAAGATGTCATCTTTGACATGATACAATTTCGTTGTATTTAATACAAGTCGACAAGGCTCGTTAAAATTATGATAAAGGATCTTATGGAAAAACTTATCGTTTTGATAATNGCTCGTTAAAATTATGAATAAGGATCTTATGGAAAAACTTATCGTTTTGTTAATTTGTTAAAAAACTATTAGTTAAAAAAAATGATTTAACTTTTGCATGTTTTAGTAACAAAGTTTGAATTTCGATAAGATTTTTTTTAAATTTAATTTACTGATAAATATTTAATGACATATAATTGAATATTAGTAAATATAATTATTTAAACCTAAATGTTTTGCCTAATGTACAAACAAGTGTACAATTTACCTTTGTTTAATATTAATTAAAATAAAACAAGGGTTAAAAGTTAATAATAACTGTCAAAACTGAATATCACAATAAAAAGAAACATTTATTCTTTTAATGAGTAAAAGGCCAACATAATAATTATTTTTAATTAATTTTTTTAATTTAACGATAAAATATTAATATTTTAATTGTTTTCAAAACAATTCTTAGTTATTTTCGAATAAGTATAAGAAGGAATTCAACAGATAAGTGTTGAAAATTAACATTTTATAAATAAAATCTGTAAAGAAAAAAAATAGTCGTCAATTGAGACAAATTTATTGTTCAATTTAAACTTTAGGGTGATAAAGACATGTATAATGATTTAGTTATGTATGATCATTAATAATGGCTTCAGCAATAAATTATGATAAATGATGCATAGATAGTTTTCATTTATCAAAAAATTTAATTAAGATATTATCGTACAGTTAATTTTGTTTACAACAAAAATTTTAAATGTATGTAATGTATTTTCGACCGTTCTTGTAGTTTTCGCTAATTTTTAGATTGGTGCGAAACTAAGATTCCATTGATTTTACCACAATGTGTTTCATTTTTGTGACTATTCATGTAACTTCTCAACTCTAACCAACTAATTTTATTGATCTATACATCAAAAGAATATAATTAGAATCTAGTTATAAAATTATTAGTATCATATTTCAAAATTAGGGAACCATCAAAAATGTCAAATACAGTTATTCTTTACTACATTTTAAGACTGTCATAACTTTTTATAAAAGAGTCAGATTTATATAAAATGTTCATATTATATACTAGAATTAATAAGATTTCTTTTGATATACTATTTATCAAAATTCAATTGAAAACATAAGTATAGAAAGAATCTAAATGATAAAACTCACAAATATAACATATTTTTTTCCAACAAAATGTTTAAGCGTCTGACAACTTTTATCAAATTAGAGATATTAAAGTGAACTATAATATAAAAAAAAAAATTGTCCCGGCTAATGTTCTACTTTGTAAAATCGGCCGTGTAATTAAGAAATTCTCAATTAAAAAATAATAATTTTATTTACAATTTTCAAATATGTTCTGAGATGTCTGACAAATGTTAACCTATACATTTTAATACATACATTTCGATTACTAAAAGTAAAACATCAACGANGACAAATGTTAACCTATACATTTTAATACATACATTTCGATTACTAAAAGTAAAACATCAACGAATCATTATCTATTAGTATTCGGCTTCTGAAGTCTAAATTTTCTATAAAAATAGTGTTCAATTTTCTGTTTTTTGTCTTTCTTTATAAACAATCACACAATGATACGTTTTACGATAGTGATGTCAGTCACTGTCTGATATCAATCTTCACCAGAACGAATATGCTGAGTCCCGACTGTACTGTTGCTATTCATCTTGTATAAATAATTTTTATTTTACTTAATTTCGTAAAAACATAACATTAGTTGCGTGTCTCTATATCGTATCTTTCAATTGTTTTATATCTTTCAGAACGAACTCGTGTTAGCATGAAAAAAAAACCAAACGAAATTTCTATATTTTTTCCGCGCTAATATAGTGTTTCTGTGGTGGCACATGGGCCGGAAAAACAAATTTTTATGGACGTACGCTTTTACAGGTACACACATGCACTAGGAGTTGGTGCGAGAGAAAAACTGCGAAGATGGAGCGGAACAATCAAATCGCTGTAACACGTGTAATACCCGTCGTGTATTATAGTAACCGACGATGATAACGTCGCTTTTTTTACGAGCAGCTCACTGCAACACGTCTCGCTCGTTTCGCGGAAAGTAAAGAGTCGAAATTCGAGCGAATATAAAACAAACGCCGAAACGCAATAGTATATTATTATTATTATTATTATTATTATTATATTACAATAATGACGTCGTGCATTGTATTACCAGCTCTAAGCGGAATACACATAAATAATCAGTGTCACTTTTGTGTGTAAGGGTTGACCCGTGCGCGCAATATTTATGGACGTTTCCACTTGCCCGTAGCGCACCACTTCACAGTTAAACGTATCAAACAGTATGTTTTTCGCTGATAATAATGTATTCCATAAACAAAAAAACGAGGTCAACACCGTACGAAAATGTATTGCGTTTAAAAAAAGTCCAATGCTAATTTACTAACGATATTTTTTATTTCGATTGTTGCAGGAGAATGGCCGCTCGGAATGGCCTGGTGCAACGTTTATGTTACCTGCGACGTGTTGGCTTGCAGCTCGAGTATAATGCACATGTGTTGCATTTCCCTGGGGAGGTATCTGGGCATCAGACACCCACTTCGCACCAGACATCATTATTCGACCACGAAACTAGTGAGTTTTAAAATCGCCATTGTGTGGTTTCTGTCTTTCATGGTATCTCTGTCAGTGACGCTCCTAGGTAAGTACTATTCAAATCTACCAAAACATATAGTAGAATCTGTAACCATATCTCCTCCGCTTTTGACAAAAATAAAACATTTTCAAATATTAACATTCAGGCCTGTAGCACACTCTCATCAGCGACGAAGCCAGTTAGGATGGCACTCTAGGATAATATTTGCTTCAAAGTATTTTTTATACTTAAATTTAGTGCCTCTTGGCGTTATCGGCACAATTAGAGCCGTAAGCGATCGTCTCCTTACCCTCGAGCCGAAACTAATTCCTACGGTCCGGTATTTATACATAACATTCTAACTNATTCCTACGGTCCGGTATTTATACATAACATTCTAACTGTTTAAGATGTGTTTATATTTTTACAAGTTATCCTTGAAGTTTTTAATAAACATTTTTAGAGAGTAAAACTATTCTTTGATAGTTTAACTTGATCCAGTCGATGACATTTTAAATAAAAACCCACAATTTTAGTTTTGTAAAAAAATATCTCTAAATTCGGCCTATAATATGAAATTTAATTAATAAAGACATGGATTTTATTTATGCATTTCAATAACTCCTTTGAAATTTAAGCAATTCTATGTCCTCTTCGAGTTTCCAAATACAAAAATACCTCTTCAAACTGACAGACGTTCTTCAGAGAATTAAAAACTCGCGTTAGAACCCTTTCGTACCTAGGTGATATCAGAGTTTTTAGAGTAAACCAAAAAAATATCTAAATAATTTTCTTAACACAAGTATTATTTTAAGAGAAATCGAACAGCTAGAATTAAAAAAAATCAGTCTGTATATATTAACTGATTAATTAAACATGAATACGTGTTTTAGTTTCGATGTTTTTACCTCTCATTTTTCTTTAGACAGTATTGAAATAACGTCAGAATCACAAAATAGCACTTAATTTTCGAAATACGCAAAAATATGAGACATAAAATTTGGTATTTAGTTTATTGGTTTTCTGAAACAAATATATAACTTCCGTAGATATCATACAACATGATATCTCCGTGACAAAATAATAACATTAAAACAGATCGTATTTTCAAAGAAAAATTATTAATTAAGTTTTCGATTTTTAATTAATTTCCATCGCTTAAATGATGACTAAACATTGAATAAAATATATTAATACATTTCAAAGTAATAATAATAAATAAATTCCTCTACAATTGATTAATAATGGACATATCTTTTAAATATTTCAGTACCGATGTAATGTTACACATTTGTATAGTATAATGTTGTAAACACACGACATGCGTCCACAGCATATACACACCATCGGCTGAAACGCACAAAATAAAAATGTTGAAATTTCGATTTTGGTTAAGGTTACGATTTTTAAAGTTTGTTTTTTTAGGTTTGGTTTTGTAATTTTCAAAGGGATTCGGTTTCAATACCAATCTTTTTGGTTCCTATGTCTAATTTGTTGTGTACATCAAAATTAACCTGGAATTGTTACATTAAAATATTTCTAGTTTGATGCTATAATGGTTCTATCATTTGTTATGTATATAAATTAAATGTTCATTCATGATAAAATTAATAAATTTTATCAAATCATTATTTTGTTAACAAATTTTGAGAATATATTGTCATTTGCGATTCATGGTATGTGGGAATTTTCTTTATAATATTATAAATATAGATAATAAATATGCATAAAAGTAATATATGTTTTGGCGGGTGCAATAGTTTTACATTAAAGGCACTTGTGTAATCTATTGTGCTCCTACTAAATAGAGAACTAAATAAAGAATATAATTCTTCTCTATATAAAATATAAAATTTTAGAAGATAATAATGTTTTATTTTGATAAAACATCCAAAGCCGCTGTAGCTGAGTTTCTCTAAGCTTTTAATTTTTAATATTTAAAATATGATTTCAGAATATCATCATACTTTGTAGGCAAAAATGTTTTTTTTTTAATTTTTAATAGTTGCGTGACATAATTTGTTACTTATATCGTCAGAAAATTAAAATTCTCAAAAAAAAATTCTTTTAATTTAAAATTCAAAAAACTAATTATTTAATGTTTAATTTTTTTTTATTTCATAAACGAAAAACATACGTTGTCTTTCAAATTTATTGTAATAAATAAAATATATATTTTGATAGCATTTAATAGTTATATTTTATTAATTTATCGAAGGGGAAAATGAAGCAACACAAATGTATCGATTAAATTGTCATAAATGACAGTTTATTTTAGATATATCACATGTAGATTCAAAAGATAAAATAACAAAAGTTTGAACTACAAGATGCTCCATATATATAAATTAATGTCGCAAACAGATGAGTATTATATATGTGGGCTATTTATTTATATGTCTTTATTAACTTCGATGCGAAGCTGAGAAGGTATTGGTTTTACTAAGATGTGTTTCTTTTTGTGTCTGTTACCACTTTTTCTCAGCTCAGTAATTACCGATGTTCCTTTCTCAGGACTAAATATTTCCTTTAAATTTTGCGAATCTTAACACAATATAAATTTATTCCTATAATTGTATTTGTGAAATTTTTTAATAGCAAAAATGATAGCTAAAGCTTCTCTATGAAGTTGAGAATATTTTTGTTCAGTCACAGATAGTGTGACTTAAAATAGTGTACTTGACACAAACATTACTGGCTTTTCCACTCTATCTACCACATGTCCCAACACTGCTCCTACTCCATAAGGTGATCCATTAGCTAAATCACTATTGCCTTTTTTAGATCATTAATTTTAGATAATTATTATTAACACTAAATTTATGAAAAAGGCTAAAATTTCGTTAAAATAACTTATTATATATTTTTTGTATATATATCGTAATAAATTGTTTCATTGGAAATATTAATAATTTCTATGTAACTTAAATAGACGATACATTTGAAATATTCAGAACTATTTTTCCTAAAGTTATATTTTATAGTTTTTAATTATTTAGTAATAATATCAAAAATTATTCGTAATAGAAAAAATATAATTGCTGATTTAAAATTAGCATGAAAAATTGAATAATTAAATTATATTTTTTACTGGGATAAAATTTTTTTCTGACCATTTATTCATAATTAACAACAAATTATTATCTAAAAATTTCTGTATCAAGTCTTTTAATTATTATACATGATTGTCATATAACTAATAACTACTTCATAATTTTTTATAATTTTCCGAAAAAATTATAATACTAAATTATTAAATATCAACTTCATACTACGTTGAATTGCTTTAATAGATATTTATTCATATATTATGTTTATAAAGTAACTACTAATTAGGAATTATGATTGAAAAAGGAGTTAATTTTTCTTTAAGAATAATCAACCAATTTATTAAAATTAAAGATTATCTATAGATTTTTTTTACTTAAAACTGCCATAACTTTTTTAAAAGAGACCAAATCAATATCACTTTTTTTCATAAATACATGATATATTACTTTTTGAAAAATGTATGGATCAATAAAATTTTTTTACGAAAAATACTATTTATATACCTTTTTTATTCGACATAATGATATCAAAATTATTTTAATATTATAAAATAATAATTAATAATTAGAAAAATATTAAATTGAACACACGAATTACAAAAAATATCGTTATTATATTTGCTAAAATTCGATTAGGATTTTACAGTTATAATATACAATATTTATAAATGTTTAGTACAAATAAAATCATTAATACTTTTATCATAAAGTGTACAACTAAAAAAAATCATTTTAAGATAACAAAAAAAAAAATGTTTAACTAAATTAAATGAAATAATGTTAAAACAATATTGAAATAAATGTAAATTATATATTCGAAAATATTTTTTTATAAGGCAACGAAAAAATCTGTTCATTAAATAAGTGAAAAAAAAACAAAAATTGAAAAATGAAAAGTAAAAAATAAAAAAAAATTAAAGTACAAAACACATAAAATGTTAAAATAAGTTATTAATTCACTTAATACAAAAGCAAATCTTGACATAAATAATTTTCTTTCAACATAAAGAAGACATCCGAAAGTATGTACGATAATAGATTACAATGTGTACAGTGAATACGGCAAGCATAAGTGTTATAAGGTAAAATATACAGTCATATGTCAAAAAACAAATAAAGTCACAATCGGCACAGAAGTCGCTATTGGTGTTGAGATCAAAATTGTAATAGCATATCATAAGTATGAAGAAAACATCTATGGTCGAAGACAGTCCAATAGAATTGGTTCGACCTCATATAATAGACACAAGTTATTAAGTTCAACAATTTCATGATAAGATTTTTGTTCTATGAGATGTTGTATTGGAAGCAGTGAGATTAAGGCTTTGTCAGAATCTGTGTAATCATCAGAGGTGGGCAAAATATTGTCTAGGACTTTGTATAAAATATCAAGCCACCTATTGTTTCTCTGGAGGCCAAAAAATGCAAAAGCGTGGCCGCAGTTACGATCCGGTTTCAAAATTGCGTACGACTCAAACATACCAGTCATTGCAAAAAGACATCCGATGGCTATTTGAGTGTGCAGTGGATATCCAATTAGTAACATATCGTTCGTAGTGTGCTTCAATGAATCTAAGATGGAATGCAAGCAATTGTATTGTAACTTGACATTGTTTATACAATTTTCCAAATAAACATCTGTCAAATCACAAACTGTTGTATCTGATTTACAGTTTTTCAATTGAGATTTAAAATACGAGGATCGAGTTTTTTTATCAGCAGTTCTTTCGACGTAAGGAAATTTATCTATTATCTTATTTCTACACTCAAGTAACGACCCATCGCAAAATTTTGATCCACGTACTTTCGTTACTGGCTTTCCCATACAAAATTTTACCTGTGACACATCAATATTAGATTTTTTACATCGTACAGTTAATTTTTTATTCCATATATTATTTTCTAAATTACAAAATTTTATCATGTCCTTGTACAATATTTCAGCTTCTTCTCTAAGGCTTAAGTCTCGACGGCTCATCTTTTCCGCGTACGAGACGTCAAATTTCTTCTTATTATACTTTTTGGATACGTTTTTTGATATAAGAGTTTGGTCTTCACGAATCGGTTTTAAATTGTACCTTTTGATAAACTCTTTGCACACATAACTTTGAATTTCCTTCATTTCATTATAATACTCGGCCTTTAAAAACCACGACCTAATGTTTCTCTCGATAGTTCTTATTTGTAAGTTGGAAAAATAACTTGAACACTTGAATATTTCGTTAATAAAAGTCCTGGGTATTTGTCTAAGAGGAAACATTGCGTTTTCGTGGTTTTCACTTTCAAAAAACGACTGAATGAAAGGCTCTGCAAATTTTCTACCTTTGTAATCTTTGCATACGATATATGTTTCTGAATTTCCGGACTTACTGGTGGCTGGTTTCTGAATTTCGACAGATTTAAATAGACAACAAAGCAAATATATTCTACAAATTGTGTTACATTCGAATATCGTAAACGTTTTTAATACAAATGATCCTCTGTCTTTTAATATGTTCAAACCTACCATTACCTCATAATTATGTAAACGCATGACAGTACATTCTTGTTCATTTGGATTATTTTGACAATCTATACTTCCATCGGCCGTTACCAAACTTACGCCGTCTATAAATCTTTTAGAAACCGTCTGCAATAAGTGTTCGTGATACTTCGGTTGAAATATGTCACCAGTATAGTCCGGACCGAATTCCCATTTGTCTAATGTGTTTAATATTAAGCGGTCATCAGTAATAATTTCAGGTTGGCCATTGGATTCATGATACGGGTTAAGTGTCATGGCCAACCAATCGAAATTTAAATTACGATGATTTAGTGATATGTAATGATTCAGCGCAGAAATAAATGCTCCGGGAGCTTCACAGAGATGTACAGAGTTGAAATTAGCTTTGGATGTAGGTTCTTGAGTAATCAAAG